ATACCCAAACAGCTGACTGGCCAATCTCTTAATCACATCAGCCTCATCTGTAGCCATAGGGATCTGTTATATGGATGCTCTTAGCTAATATAATGGTATCCAACGATTTCCATAAATCCACAATATTGGATAAAGTTGGCAATGAGTTCTACATTACCGTAATTGAATGACTTAGATTCTCACAGTTTCCGCAGCCCATGTACTTTATTGGCTCTCCTGCATCACTTTTTTTCTTCTTTACCTAAAATAAAGATTAGGCGGTAATTTACAACATCTGAAGATATGATCTGACGATTGATTATTTTCAACTTTTGTTCAATATAGAAAAGCATGAACTGTGTTCAAGAAAAAAAAATGAAAAAAAAAAAATTTAAAAATGAATCCTGCACGGCGAAAAGCGAGCAACACCTTGAGTGTAAAAGCCCGCCCTTGCACTCCACACCCCCGCAACCGAAGTGCAACCTCCTTGCATAAGTTCTCAAGGAAATGCTTAGTCTGAGACCAGAATAAGAGTTACCAATAGAAAGTTGCAGACATCCACAAATGTACAGATTTACAAAGGTACACTAACATCATTTAGATTCCTGAACCTCACACCCCAGTTAACTTCAGCACCAACGGACTTGCTTTCCTGCAAAAAATAGCAAAGCTTCAACTTCGAAATACAATAAGAGCAAGAATGTGGCGAAACCATTTTGGCTGGATGCGAACTTGCATACGACATTGTCGGACTACCTACATGGGTTTGTCGGTTCCTCAAATAATTTCTAATGTGAAGTGAAAAGAAAATGACAGGAATTAGGTTGAAGTAGCCTTACAATTCAAAGATACCCCTTTGCCTAAAACGAAGAATGTCAAGTCTGGAAAACTTTGTCAAACTCTTCAATGGACAATAGTACATAATGGATTGATACAACGGCTAAACCACGTAGAAAGAACGATGTAATATGAAATTCGCAAAATCGCATCTTTTATGATCAATTGCAATCATGGCATAGACCTAACTAAACATAATGATAAATTCTGTTATTTTATATCGTGTAAATATAGAATAGAGTATATTAGGAGAGGTTCTACATTTTTACTATAATTACGGGATTATATTTGGTGAATTAGATTACGATGATTATTCCATTAGTTGTATACACAAATAAGGCTCCTTGTACCATTGAGATTATTGAGATGAAAACAGAATTCATTTTCATTGTTGCATTGAAGTGGACTACCATTTTATTAGAGACAAAATCAAAGAAGCTACAGAATAAGTTAAATCAGAAGACCAACTAGGAGATATATTCACGAAGGCCGTAAATGGCGTAAGACTTGGTAATATTTGTAACAAACTGGGCAAAATCAATGTATATGCTCCAGCTTGAGGGGGTGTGTTAGTGTATGTTGTGTAATAAATAGAATAGAGTCTATTAGGAAAGGTTATATAAGTTTACTATAATGACGGGATTAGATTTGGATTTTATTAGGATGATTATTCCCTTAGTTGTATGTATAAATAAGGCTCCTTGTATCATTGAGATTATTGAGATGAATACAGAATTCAATTTCACAACAGATTCAAATAGGACAAATATGACATCACAACCTATGTTCATACCTTATACACCGAATAATAGACAAAAAAGCAAAATAACAAACAACATAAACAAAACTATGCAGGAGACCAAATCTACCTTGATCAACTTTGAAACTTAACACCCGTATCACAAACTTACTTAATAAGCAAAAGCAAGTACAGTACTAACTCCTACAGCACCTGAATCACTCCAACAAGTCTATTGTCAACCCCTCTGCTATATTTCCACAGCATCTCTCCAGTTTTCATCCCAAAATCCTTCTGAAGAGACTCCTGGAAACATCAAAATACCGCAAGTCAAATGAAAATCTTTTATTAGTTTATTTAAAATTATACTCAATTGTTTCACCAATTACCAATAATATGTGACACATTCAACCTCAAAACAGAAAGATTATTAAGGTAGCCAAAAAGATTATTAGAGGTAACAAGTTGTATAAAAATAAACATGTTTCTACTGTAGAGCCAAATACTTCCTTAGTAGCTTCAACCTCAAAACAGAATAAATATAGCACCACCTTTTAAAGAAACCACAAAATACTTCCATCCCCCACATTGATAAGGACAAGATAGGGAAATGTTTAATTATTTTAGTAAAAATACTAGGTCTGGCTACTTAACAACAGATGAATAGATAAGATACGATCAATCTCAAAAGCGATAACCATGACATGGAAGAGACCCCAAACAATATTAACCAAAGAAATTTCTATCCTTTCAGGACAAATGATAACCTTGCTGATTAGACGCAACTGGCCGCAGGTTTTAATCTGTTTCTGCTTCAGTTTTCCTTCTAAAACATGCCCAATGCCTGGAAGTGCCTTTACTGGAAGTGATTGTAAATAATTGTCAACCTGAAATATCGAGAAGCCAAGGCAATCACAGGATCACTCAATACTCAAATACGAAAAAAATTGTCCATCCTGAAAGTTATACTAATCTAGAAATCCACTGGGAAAATGCTATTTAAAAATCGTGAAGAGCACTTTATAGTTCAGCAACATGCAAATATAGCTGATACTGAAAACCGGACATGCTAATCATATACCTCCTCAAAAGGAATGTAACACTGTCCATTTGGTTTGGCAGTTTTTGTAGCAAGACGCGCCATAAGCATGTTTCCTGCTATTCCAGCACTTGCTGTACATCCTGTAGTCTCAAAAATCTCCTTTCTGATTGCCGAGGCTAAAAGCTGAGGATCTCCCACTTCAGATTCAGACACATCTAAAAAAGCTTCATCACAGCTGACAGCCTGCAGTGAAACTTTTGTTTTAAAATCAAAAGGTGACCAAAATCTGATTTTTAACTGCATTAAGAAGCAAGACCTGAACTTTGTTGCAGTGTTTGTGCAAAATGTCATAAAATTGATCCGCCACCTGCAATTGGAGAGATCAGGTTGTACAGACAACCAGCATTGTAATTTGGCAGGATGAAGAAAAGGGATGATCATATGCTAACCAAAGCATTATCTAAACAGAAAATGAATATTTACCAGTTCATAAGCTCCAAAGTCATATGGAACTATGACAAGCTGAGGGCATCGATCCTTAGCATCTTTCACAAACATTCCTGCCTTCACTCCTGAAAGCATGCAAGGTATCAGAAACAGCTGATATAAAACGATATAAACACAACTACGAGAGACGAGCTAAAACCATGATCCCTAGCAGGGTAATTGGCAGATGAAATTTCGGCGGTGCCACGAGGATTATCCGAATGGCAAACAGCAACAGGTTTATCCAGCAACTCAGGGTGGTTCCTAGTAACCACCGAAACAAAAAAGCAATCCTGGCACCATTTCCATCAACTTTATTTGGTTATTCAAAAGATACGGACAATTGACACACAGCAAAATTGGTGAAAACCAACAAGATTAAGAGACGTCTACCATTGTATATGAATGTTTTTGTCAGGGTGGGAGAACACATAAGAACAGCTATATCACGAGAACAAGTGAGACAAACAGAGTGAGAGAGAGAGAGAGAGAGAGAAAGAGAGAGAGAGAGAGAGGTTTTTTGGGAGAAAGAGACATACAAACTATTTAATAATGAGCGAGAAAATATGATAATAGATGCAAAAGCATAAATGTACCATATCTATGTGTATTGTGGCATTCTTCTCGTTCGCTGCTGCAGTACTAAGGCTGGAACTTTTTTGCCTAAAGCAATCGGACAAGCTGTTGAAACGCTTACGATATCGGTTTCTCCATGTACCTATAAAGTGCAGCCTAGAACTCTGGAAGAGTTTAAACATAATTAGGACAGAGGGGGTTACTTGGATAGAATGCTCAATAGAAAGGACAGACAGCTCCAAAATAGATGTTCAAAGAGTAACACCGAGAAACAAGCACACACCATTTGTTTATCAGACAAATGAGAACAGAAGCACTACAATCTATATAGCAAAAAGATAATAGAGTGCATAGCACCAGATGAAAATACGAATGCCAACACACAATGTGCCAAATTTACCGTGGGCACCAAACATGCAATTCTACCTAAAAGATAATATAATATAGAGAAATGAGAACAGAAGCACTACAATCTATATAGCAAAAATTTCTAAGCTCGTAGAAATATTATGGACTGATGCGACCCGCATGCAATGGAACCATAGAAAAATAACAATATTTCTCAATGCGGATTCTGGAATGTGATTGAAACCAAGGTACCATACATGCATTCCAATAAAGGAAGCAGACGCAGGATCTTTAAAAATGTGAAAGAACGAAAACCACATCTGAGAAATTATGACCAATAATTTCCAAGTTCTCACCTTGAAATAATTTTCAACAAAATTGGGATCTGCAAGAGTCGAATGCCTCTCATTACGCGGCAAAATGGTCCCCGAGCTTGAAGCATCGCTGACATCGTGTTTATCCAGGTTATTACTGTTAAGTGAAACAGAAGCCTGAGATGTGCTCGATTTTAGCTTCAAATCAGAATTCTGTTCATGGAAAAGCAAATGACCAGTCAATTCAACCCCTTTCACTTCAATGGAACTTTCTACACTACAAGCTGGCTCTTCAGAGTTAAGTCCTAGATTGCACCTGTCTGCTGCCTCTAAAGATGCAGAATTTTCAGATAGCCCAGCTGCCAATGACTGATTCTCATTTTCATGCACTGCTGCAAGGTCAACAAGCTGACCTGCAGCCTCAGATGCCCCACTGGTTTCTGGAGTAAAAAAAGCAGATAATTTTGACTGGTTATTATTTTCAGCGACTAGCTGATCGAGCTGATAAGGAATCCCTGCCAAATGAAAAAGACCAAATGCAGCATAAGCTTTTTGTTTTTTCAATTTCATCTCCAAATGTTTTGTCTACAATACAGAGCAAATCAGTTGACCTGTGGAAGGCCAATACATGATGTGTTACGTGTTATTTCCTTGCACAAAAATAAACTACAAAGATGAGTTCAAATAAACGCTTACAATTAAGAAGTTTATTAGCAGCTACAGAGTCCAGCACCCACGAGGGTTTAACTACTGGAAGGCCACCACTGAATGACCTACAAAAACGAAAGCAAACAATTGTAAGCCAAACAAAAAAACCATAAACCTAAACCTAACTAATGAGGAAAGCTCTTCATAATTGTAAAAGCCAACCTCAAGTTCTTGATTTTACTGTCAGGGAGATTACTGCATATTATGTGAGTGACACATTTCCTTGAAAAGTAATTTTCAAACCTTCCACCATACTTCAACATGTATCCTCGAAGCTCCTGAAAAGAGATTTATGTCAAACAGTATTTGAAGGCACTATGCCATGTGAAAGTAACTACACGAGCATGTAGTCTGTAAGGGCATCCACCATGGTCCAAACACTGTATGTCATGGTTTATATGGTTCTTAGAAAAATGGAATGTAACTGTGAGTTTCTTATAAAATAACTATGGAAAGAGAAGAAAAATACAAACAAAGTATCAACATGTTTCAGATAGCATACATTATTTGCATTTCATAAATTGGACAGGATTTGCTTTAACTAAACTAAAAAAAATCAATGTATATTTGACGCCATAATGAGAATCTTAAATAATCGGAATCAATCAGAATTAACCTGACTTGAAGGAACGGTATATCCATCAACAAAGATTGAAACTTCATTAAATATAGATATCTCAGAACTGGGTGCACTATGAGAAGAGCTTGAAGCAGCAGCATTGAATTGTTCATGGAGTTTCTGGTTCTTCACAACCATGTAACTAAGCCAAGCAGCCAAAAGAATATCAAAAAGGAGAACAAGGAACTAGCTCTATATGATATAAATAAACACCAAACATATAAGAAGAATGGATCGGAAAAGCATAAAACTTTAACAATCAATATACGAGTGCATTTAGAAAACATATAAAAATTATTTCAAAAAGAACTAATCATCCTTGCTACCAAAAATCTGAAGTATGGAGTGAACAAAATTTTCTCACTGCCATTTGCACCACTAAAGAAATGCATTAACTCAGTAGCATAATGCTGAATCAATACTTAAGAATCAGATATAATCCGAGAAACATAAACCAGACATGAATAAAATACAATTAGATTTTCAAAGAAGAAAATAATCTACAGATGAAGGAGAAAAAACCATACACCAACCAGAACAGAGAAAGTTGAATTGCTTGAGGTAAGAGAACGTCCAAGAAACATCGAAATAGGAATGCATGGAATTGTTCTATACGACATCAAGCGGTCACAAACAAGACCGAAAACTGATTGCAGCCATCGAAATAGTGGTAACAATCCATATCCAAATGGTGCAAAAGAAAACCAATAATTACTTCATTCCAAGATAAAAAAATTGCTTAAGAACACTCAAGACACACTATTATGAGGTATCGACTTCCGAATATCATCACCCAGACATAGATTACACAACATACAATGCAAAACCAACAACGAGAACTCCGAGGCTCGATAAAGGAAAAGTATAACATCTTCATATTGATGCAGTTTATATCAGGTTTTCAAGAAAAGAACATCAAAAACCTGCCAAAATCGGAGAACGGTGAATTGCGGAAGGCGGAGCGGGAGGAGGAACGCGAATTCGCGCCCCAAGCCATGCCCAGGGTCTTCTGAGCCGTCGTCTTCTTCTTATTCGAACCTCTACCATCACTGCTGCTATTACTGGAAGGAGATGGGTTTGAGGATATCGATTTGAAACTCCTCTTCGACTTAGAACCCGAATCCAAACTCATAATCACTATTTCGAAATCACTATACAAATAAAGAGTAAAGATTAACAGAGATCTTCGCGGGTGAACTAGGGAAAGGATGAAAGGTTTGCAAGAAACTTGGACTCTACCAATTTAAAATGAAATGAAGCATACGGCGGCACGGCGCGCACAAATTAGAAGCGCTATCCGAAATTTGTCCTCGGAAACTAAAGTCGTATCATTTTATTGCAGAACCGCCACGTTTTCTTCTATTTATATTTCCTGTTTTTTTTTCTTTTATCCCTTTTTCCTTTTCTACTAGTATAGAGCCCGTGCGATGCACGGGATGCACAATTTTAAGGTCATTTATCCATTCTTATAATTATATAAATGAATAAAAAAAATGTACATATATATATAGTACGTGACCTGTAATAGGCCAAAATGTGAACACGGGTGATGCACGGGGTGCACAATTTTAAGGTCATTTATTAGTACAGAGCCCGTGCGATGCACGGGGTGCACAATTTTCTAGTATGTGTAATAAAAATACATACCGTATGCACGGGACAGAAGCACTAAATGAGTCATTTCCACAGAGCTTGCCCGTTAGTAGCTCTTGAACACGGGTGCACAATTTGTGGTACGTACCATAAAATCATAACAGATTTCCATACAATTAGATAATAAATTTGATAATAAATAAACCCTTTTTATTTTAGTAAAGATTTTACGTACTTCGTTTTTTTACTTATCGGATGTTATGGGATTTTTTTTGTTAAACGGATTTTATGTAATATAATACAAATACAATTAGAGGATTGAACAAAATCAGAACAGATTTTCATACAATTAGATAATAAAAAGGAATTAGATCAGGAAAAGAATGAATTAGATAAGAAAAAAGAAGGAATTAGATAAGGAATTTTGAATATGACTTTTTTTTATAGATAGACTTTACGTACAAATTTTAACTTCACTGATTTTATGGGATTTATTTTGACAAAATTGATGTTAATATGGAATAAGACAAATAAATAAAGTCTTTTTATTTTAGTAAAGATTTTACGTCTTTTTTTTTTTACTTGTCATATGTTATGAGATTTTTTTTCTTAAACTGATTTTATGGGATATAAAACAAATAAATAAAATAATTAAATAAAATTATGGATAGAAATAACAATGCATTAATTACGTTGACTTTTCAATTTAGTAAATTTGGTAAATATGATACCTTATATAATAAGTATAGATACAAATAAATAACATGCCAAAATTTTAAAGAATAATTAATGTATTTTAATTTATTATCTAGCCATCAGTAATATCATTTAATGATGTGATCATTATCTCTTAAATGATAAATAAAATATTAATTTAAAAAAATCTTTGTTTTTTATATATTCAAATAAAAATTAAAAAATACTATCGACAAATATGAATTATAATATATATCAGTAAAATCATTGCAGAAGTTAATAAAATTATTTAAGGAAAGAATTTTTTGATCATATTTGAATAGGAAATGATATATGCAAACAATTAATGCATATAGTAAAAAATTTTTAAATAAAGTATGCATTAAATGTGAGTTGACTTTTTTTGCTACTATTTTTGGTAAATAGTATGGCTTTTAATATAAGTATAGATTTATACTATTTTAACGCGTGCATTTGCACAGAAAGCTACAATAGAGGAGACAGTAATAGAAATACAGAAAAAAAATAAAAATTATAACTTAATGATTGTGAAAAAAAATGATTTAAAACAAGTGAATCTAAATATTATTAAACACTTCATTATATACAACATTCGTGATTTTCCTATCGTCAAATTCTTATCACCAGACATCATTATCTTCAAACCCCTACGACTCGTGATTCTATACATACAATTGTCTATGACTTAATACATGGCTCTTCTGTAGTAAGCCGTCGTGCGACCGAGATTGACTTTGACTCTTATTGATTGACAAAGCATATGAAACCATGAGAGGAAACTGTGTACGCTGAAACTTGAACGGTAAACTCAAACCATATGGTATGATTGAACCTAGAAATAAGAACTTTATCGCCAACTCTGGCACCCGTTAAAATTTTACATTCGAGAACATGATTGTTGAGCTTACTAATAATCAAATGTGTACCGTTGCACATCTCGATGGAATGATCAATGTTTCTTAGCAGCATCACTAGAGTGTCGACCTTCAAGTTCAATATATATATAAAATAAGAATAAGGTTAAATCAGTTTTGGTAAGAATTTTTTGCCAAAATAATTAATGACCTTGCAAAAAAAGAATTATCACACACGTTTTAAATGCAAAACAAATAAACAAAAAAAAAAAAGCATTAATAGTATGCGAGGGGAGTAGCCATGAAAAAAGGGATTCAACTTGCACTTGGTTTTGCCAAAATTTCTTTTTAAGGTAAACCATTATTTTTATGGTAACACATTATTGTGGTAAAAAAAATCCTTCAAATATAAAAAAATCTCATTTAATTTGTGTATTCCGTTTTTTATTTATAAAAACTTATTTACACAAATTCATTGTTAATAAAAATATTTTTTTTCTTAAATAAATATGATCTACACTTCTTTATATTCATACAAATAAATCTATTTTTTATATTTATTTTATTTTACTCCCATAACAAGTCGTTTTCTATGAACATTTATCATTTTCAACTACAAAACATATAAACTAAATTAGATTTTTCAACGATCCTTTATTTTTGTTGTATCACGATTTTCGTTGGTGAAACATCTTTTATGCTTAAACTCAGCGGGTGGTCCCGCCTGACCTGGGGTCGCTCAAGTTGGGCTTGGTTAAACATCTTTTAGATATATACAAATCAAATTTAGTATTTTATCGTTCTTTCGTAATAAAATTTGATTCACACACGATTGTCCATATTAGTTGTTTTGGACTACAAATGAAAACCCTACAATAAAAAAGATAAACACGAAAGGCAATCATTATGGAAATATGATGTACAAGCGTTTATATTTATAAATAAATCTCTTCTTTAAACGTGACATTTTTTTAAATATTGCTATACCATAGATATAATCTAAGTCTCTTTTTAAACGTAAGGCATTTTATATTTATTCCGAAAATTAGAATCGAAATTAGGCGTAATATGAGACTAAGAGAATAAAATAAATAAACACAAAATTCACTATCATGGTAACATTTTTTTTGTAATGAGAATGTTATAATAAAAAGGATAAATACAAAACACAATCTTTATAGAAATTTGATTTACAAGTCTTTATATTCATATAAATAATCTCTTATTTGAATGTAAGAATCTTTTTTATTTTACATATTGTTATGCAATAGATACAATCTGAGTCGATTGTAGAAATTGACTAGCCCTTTCACGAGTCAACACTTGAATTTTCGTCCCCGGTGGAGTGACTGGCATCCCCTCATCCTAACGCGCACCTGATGGCGCATGATCTCTAGACGGTGGCGATCCCAGCATAGAAGTCACAGGTTCGTGGATGGGCACCCCCAGAGGTCTCATGTTAGTCCCACTAAACTCCTCGCTTAAATTCCTTTGCACACGTTTTCTCTCCGCCATGTCAGGCGATCAAAAATTGGTAAAGAGATCTTAGTTCCTATAAAAGCTCCTCACAGACGGCACCAAATGATGTGTCACTACGTGGATCTAGGTAGAATCGGTTGAGAAGAGCTTTGATCTACCTGAACCACCGCGCGTAGACCTACACAAACTCAATACTGGAGGGAATTCTGGCGTAGAGCCTTTGATGCTTAAGTCAGCAAAATGAAGAAGATGGTGATACTCTGCAATCTTATAGCGGTATATAATGTATGAAAAATGGAAAGTTAGGGTTTGGTGATACTTCATTCTATTTTTATAGAGAAATACCTACCCAAAATATTTTGCCCGACTGCCCACGGGCAGTCTACCCAGATGCTCGAACATAATGCATATCTATATCCTAATCACCTCCTAGTCACCTTTAGATTCCATCTTATCCCCTTAAGATTCTTCTTTTCTTCTTCGTGATTCCTACTGGTTTATGTCCTCATCATTTTTCAGGTCGTCCATTGTATATTTGATAATCGAGGTTGAGTTACATCAGGTACTTGGCTATTCAAGTCGCCTAGGGATTTGGTCGTATTTATTCCGTAAGGTCGCTAGCTCTTAGGTCACCTTAGACTGAGGTCATTCTGATGTCCCAAGTTCGTGGTCTTTAGGTCGTTGTTGATAGGTTATCTACCACTCTGGTCGAGCTCTATATACTTAGAATACTTCTGGTCCATATATATGCATATAATTACTATATCAAAAAATTAATAAAGTAATTTATGGTATAAAGTGGGTGAAATTTTTTTTGTACGAAATTTATTTGGGATAGTAAATTTTTGGTATGAAGTGTCGAATTTTTTTTATATATATAAAATTTTATTGGAATACTTTTGTTTTGGTATAATTTGGTCTCCACTTGATTCCTTTTCTATTTTACTTTTAAATTTGTCAACCCCTGTTTATTAACTTTATATTTTTTCACTCTCCAATATCATTGCATTACACATTTTGGAGATACCATTATTTATAAATATTTGTACCCATATGTTGATTGAAATTAGTCTATCTTTCTAAAAAAATTGGCCAATATTGGTTTATGCATAGCTTTCCTGAAGATGGTCTATTTTGATTTTACTAATCAAAACGTTCAACAATTAATTGAAAATTAGTAATTTATATTTTTATAATAAATCATTATTGATTTTCAGTTTGAAAAATCGGATTTTAAAAGGAGTCCATTTTGCGCCAGCTTGCTTTCCGTTTGAAGTGCCAGTTTCACTGGACCTGACCATCTACATTATCGAAACTAAAGCATACAATACCAAGAGAAATGGTACCGAAGAAAAAAAAAAAGAAGCATCACCGTTCAATTGAAAGAATCTATTATTTACACGGACGTACGACCAATCAGAAAAGTTCCAACAGTGAAGTTTTGAAATTGGTTAATAATTGAATGTGAATTAGGTGCATACAATCGATA